GTTCTCAGACACTAAGAGCGCTGTGTAATGCAAGTTGTTGTGAATTGCCATCAACCCGACTTAGGACATTAAACCCTTGTTTCTCTTCACTAATCAATTGTCTTTCGGAAGATTTTAATGGACACATCGAGTTTAACATTGTTCTGCAGAACCACAATTGCTCTCCCTCCCTTCCTTATTCCTCACTGTGTTAACTTCACTGAGCTAAATTCAATGAGGTTAGCATTCTGCCCCGTCGCTGTAATGAATAACTCGAGTACTGTTGAGTAATTCAGAAATCATGTTAAGTTGTATCGCTTCCTGCAGTAATTGAATGATGTGAACACTTAGAGTCGATTTCAGGACCAGCTCATCTTGTCATCCCCTTCCGCTGAAGGCCAATTGTGCTTACAAGGATTTGGATTTAAGATTTAGGCAAGATGCTTTGGGCTGACAACGCAGGGTGCACATGATGTTTAGATTTTGGGTCGTGGCAAATGCGTTGAAGGTCAGTGATTTAATCCAAACATCTTGCTCTGTTGTGAAACATATGCCTTGCTGCGGTCAAGCCGAGAGCTGAGGCCTAGGTGCCCTTTAACTGAATTACAGTTACATCCATCTGACGTCGGAGTAACGTTCTGCTTGAGCACTCCTGCCACTGATAGATTACAGTGTAAGAAGTGACTTAAAAACACCAAAGAGCATCTTGGCAAGAGTAAGGGTTAAACATGCCTCACGACCAGAGTAATTGTTAATTCCCCTCCACCTCCTCCCACCCCACCCCCCACTATCACCACAAAAAAATGTGATTCATTGAACAAAACCTGTCCTTGTAATGAATTAATTTTCAGTCTTTCCCCCAGAGTCTGCTAACCATATGCTTGATGGGTTTTTGATGACTTTTTTTCCCTTGACCACAGGGGAGGAATTCCTCCATGTGGGAGAGGTTAGCAGGAGTCTGCCTCACCTTCAGGAAGCCCTTGTCACCACCTCTAACTACATAAAAAAATTGGCTCCAGACGACCAGAGGTCGAGTCTTCAGCCTTTCTGCCCACCTCTCAAGAACTCCAATCCAGTGTCCCTCCGTCTTGCCCCCCCGCCCCTCCCTTGCCTCCTTCAAGACTTTCCTTTTGGACCGTGCCTTCGGCCATCTTCCCTTACCCACCACACATGCCCTCCACCCCTCTCTGATCCCAGCCCCCCAGCTCGGGAGCAAACCCCTCAAACCCTTGGGACGTTCTCCCGATGTGAAAGGCACTAAATAAATGCAATTTGGTGTTGTTGTTAAACTTGGAACTCACACTTCAAATACCCACACACACCAAATTCACATAAACACGTTTTTTTGTGCTTTCTTCCAATAAAAAGTAACTCGCATAAATCTGTATTTTCTTTCCATCCGACTTTCTGTATGAGTCAGATGCCACTGTATCTTGGCGAGCTCAGTAAGGGTCTGGAGAAAGGGATACTTCATAACTATAATAAGCCCAAATCCTTAGCCATGTTAAATAATGGTAATATGCTGTGAGTGCCAATATGAATATCAATGAATTTAATATAGGGTAAAGTGATACTTCAGTCATCTACAGACTGCTTCAATCAGAAGCATATGGATGGTTCTATATGCTCCCCAGTCAGTAACTATTCTCAATGTTTTCCTAGTTAATGTATTGTTGCTTAACAGTGGAAACTTTCTCGAGCCAGTTTGACTCTAAGCAATGAGGGGTGGGGGTGGGGAGGTGGGTTGGGAGTCATATGTTTTACTTGCCAAAAATATCATTAAGTTGTTTTCTATTGACGTGGAAAATCGTGGTCGCTGCACTCCAGTCTCAAAGAGCCAGCTCAGCTGCTGTCTGCTCTGCACCCTGCTTACTGTATACCATTCCTGATCGGTCACAGAGGCACATTGGTGGCCAATACACTGTAAATTATTTGCAGTCTTTGAAGCAGTAATAGAGGAGCATTGAAAGGCCGGCTCACTTTCCCGGATCCCTCCAATGTTGCGTTGCCTGTTGTTATGATCTGTTCCGAGATTGGACATTAAAAGTAACGGGTGTTAGTGTATCGGAGGTAGGCTTGGCCTGGAAGCACAGTGCCTTGGTTTATATAAGTGCTGCAGCACAAATTGATAGCAGGTGTGTTATGGCCACAATTCCCCCAAAGAGAGGCACGGACGTAGATTTTTTTTCATAAATACAGTGTAACTTTTGCTCTACATTGTAATTCTCTGAGTCTATTTCATCTTATCTCTCTCCTTCCCCCTCCATTCAGTTGGCACCAATCTTCCTCGGCCTGAGGTCGGTTTCACAGCCTGCTTAATTGCACGGCTTTCAATGATTCCTGCTTGGCTGGTAAATGAACGGGCTCCTCCAGGGTCTGTCTGTGATCAACTGGGCAAGCTGTTCCGATGTACGGAAATCACCCTGTTAGGAGAAGCCTGAAAATAAACACGAGTTAAGGCCAAGACGTTTCAGAATTTATTACCTCAGCCTCCGAGTAAATAGTTTTGCACCGGGGTAATTAGCTATGAAAAGGAGAATGGATAACCATTAGAAGTCAGTTAGCTGTGGGGTCCTCATGTGTGTTATTGTCATCCCGCTGGCACAGATGTTAGCAGCAGGTTTGACCCATGACCAGAATTTGTCATTCAAGGAAGCCCAAGAGCACAGAGTGGGTGGAGAGTCTATTTAAGACTGAACAGTTTGTCTGGATAAACACAATGTATTTTCCATTAAAAAATGACATTGAGCAGAAACTGCTGACTGCTCCTCACTGCTGGCCACAGCACAAAGCACGAGGCTTTAGTAAAGTGTGCGAACAAAATAATTTCAGCCTCGACTCATTTTGCCAGCAGAACCCTCCTGCTGTGCCCCCTCCGTGGCAGTCCTCCTTTCAGCTGCCATCTTGGCCACTATTTCTGGCACCGGCGCTAAAACCACTCTCCCCGTGTGCCAGCCTGGAACAACGGTAAAATACAATCATAGAATCCTACAGCACAGAAGGAGGCCATTCAGCCCATCATGCCTGTGCCGGCTCTTTGAAAGAGCTACCCAATTAGTCCCACTCCCCCACTCTTTCCCCATGGACTTGCAATTTTTTTCTTTTCAAGTAAATATCCAAATCCCTTTTGAAAGTGTGCTAGAAAAATATGATAATTTGTAGCTGATCTCCCACTTTTGTGAAGCCTGCGTTTATGTTACTGCACCATTAATCATGTGTTCACAACATAAAATCATAGGAAACGAAGGGCAGAAGGATGCCATTTGCCCCATGGAGACTTTGCTGGTGTTGGGTGCATCCATTTCAAAGTCCAAGTCCCTGGTATTTTGAATTAATATTCAAGGAATGAAGAAAAGTGTTGTTTTCAAATAATTTATTTCATTCAGGAGATTCTTTAACTTCTCTCTCCCTCCAGAACAAGTGTTACAATAACTGAGGGTTTAAAGGCATTGTGTCCACAATTGTAGCATCGCTTCATATTGTGCTCCCACATCATGAGTAGCTGAGTGGTTAGAGCAGTCGCCTCGCAAGTGGGAGACCTGGGTTCAATTCCCGACAGGGTGAAATGTTGGGTAAGTTTCCTTACTCCACACGCCTCTGTTTACCTAGCAGTAAGTAGGAATCTGGTTGTCAGTCAATTGGCGGATCGCTTTTCCAGGGATAATAATTCCTTAAACAACATAATAATAATAAATTGGTCACTTCAATCCATAACTGTTTGCGGGACATTGCTGTGCGTAATTGGCTGCCATGATTTGCCCACAAAATATACAGTCAAATCACTTTACAGTATATTCTGTGAAGAGCTTTGAGACGTCTTGAAGACGCGATAAGGCGTTATATCAAATGCAAGGTTTATTATTATTACCAGCTGACTGCACACAAGCTCTGGTGGACAAAATGTGTTTTCCTACCCTTCATTTTAGCCATGTGCAGGATACTATGCAGGTATTGACACCAAGATATTTACATTGTGTAACTGACGAGCTGGAATGAGTTATCAGGCAGGGTAGTTGAAGCCAGTACACATTTCAGATGTTAACCGGAATATGGTAGGGTATTCTGCAAAGATGAGATCAAATGTTGGTCCAATGTGTGCAGTCCACAAAGCTGCAAACGAGAGATTTGCTTCCTTAAAACAAAGGCATTGTTCATTCCTGAATTGTCAAGTCACCGTCAGCTCATTCATTTCTGTGCACGCTCAGCTGTTGTGGTGATAGTTCCATGCAGATGTCGCTCAACTTCCCTGCATCCATTACGGGTCCCCAGAGAGTTAGCTTTTAGACTGCTTACAGCAGGTTTCAGCAAGCTAGCCCCAAGAGGTTTGAACAGTCAAACCAAGATCAACTTTGATCTCCTCCTCCTAGTGTGATCTCCTCGCCACTTCATTGGAGTCCCACTCTTCAAAAAGAAGCATTCAATCGATCCTTTGTTGCATTCTGAACGTTGATGTCAATAGGTTGGAGCTTTGAAGTACAGTCTGTGCATTTACTCCATGTTTGGAATTTCCGTTCCCTTTCTGACTTACTCACCAGACTGGTCTCTGAAGGTGCCCATTATTCTAAATATTGTTTTAACCATTATACATCTGTACTTCTATATTATCTGCATCACTACTCCACTTTTTCCTTCATCCCTTCTCCCCTCCCTCGCTTATCACCAGTATTTCATTTAGATATTGATTCTTTGGTTCTGTTGAGCCCAATGGATAAAGATCTATTACATGTTGAATCTCAGGAAACCTGTAGGAAAGTGAGATCTCTGGTCAGCTGGTTAGAACTTGGGATCCGTGGAATCCAGGACCATGTAGTTTACATGCTAATCTGTTTTTTTTTATGACTCTTGTACTTTGCTTAGGAGTGCTTCATCAAAACCAAAAGGGTTCAATTGAAATAACCTGCATTTTCACAGGTGTTACCTGAAGGAAAATGTGTGTGCGTGTGTATGTATGTATGTATATATATATAAGGGAGAGATATTAATTATATCTTTTGAATGTAAATGTATTCTTTTCTGTTAAGGGAGGCCACATGTCATCAGGGAAATTCTCATTTGTATCTATGCCAAGTCGAACATCCTTCTCTGAAACCTCTGTTACCAATCTCCTGTGAGTATGAGACGCACTGTGTGTATCTTTTGCCTCATATTTTTGTAAGTGCAAATTGTTGTTTTAAAAGCTGTGGGCACTGCCAGCCTCCCACCTTCCTCATAAGGCACATCTCAAAACCGCAGCTCTTTGACCGCTTTCGGACACTTACCCCTCCTCGCTCCACCGCCTCCCACCTCATCTGCCCATCCTGCACTGCAAAGTGCTTCGCGATGTCCTCCAGGTGGGGAAGGCGCTATATAAATGTAAATTATGTTACATGTACTGTCATTCGAGAATTTGTAAAGCAATTACCTTCAGGCTGGCTTGTCTCTGAATTGCTCTGAAATGGCACTGAAGAATGGAAGGGTCTTTTTTTTTGTGCGTGAAGTGTTTAGATTGAATTGTCTAGAAACCAAATCATCCTGGGGTGGTAAACCGTGGGGTTATAATTATTTCTGTTTGACTATAATTCTCGTTTGAAGAATTGAGCAATTTCCTGCAGTGTGCAGCCACTGTTTAAAACCTGCATCAAGTTTCAAAAAGCCATCTTATTGTTTATTTTCCCCTTGATTTTCTTCCTGCTCGAAATGTAACCACTTTCAGCTGGCTGGTTGGCTGCTTGGCTGACAAATCTTTCTGTGCTTTCTGATATCGGCATTGAGAGATAAGGGCTCAGCTGATGCACATCTGGGAAATCGTGTGTCAGGTAGGAACACTCTTGCCTCCAAGTCAGAAGGTTGCGGGTTCAAGACCCATCATCTAGGTTAGCACTTCAGTGCAGTGTTGGCGGAACACTGCATTGTCTGAGGTGCTGTCCTTAAGAGGCATTAGACCGAAGCTCCGTCTGCCTGTTCAGGTGGACGTTAAAATCACGTGGCAAAATTCAAAAACACTGGCCCGACAAACCTCATGTTAAATTGATCATTCACTTCATTGCTATTTGTGGGACGTTGCTGGAGGCAAATTGGCTGCCGTGTTCACTTATAAATCTTCACCACACTTTACAGAAACCCATGTGAATTCCTTTGAGATGTTTCGATATGATAACAACAACAACTTGCATATGTTCACCCGGGGTAGTATCTCGGAGCGTTGAGGCATTTTATCACATTGGAGGGATCAAACGTTATCCTTGTTTGATGTGAAATGTTCCTTCTTTTCTATAGTCTCATATAGTAAGTGCTCCATCACAACCCATTGTTGATAGTGGACTGCCCTCCAGTACTAAATGCTACAGTGCTTATTGACTTCTGTTTTCTTTGCTGAAAGCTTCACGATATTCTTGTGATTTCTGATTTTGATTTGCCTAGGAGGGAGAGTGGCAGCGCTGTGTGCCTGGATTTACAAGTGATCGACACTGTAAGAAGCGGAAAAGACCGTGAGGACACAGTGATGCATCACGTGCTGAGAGAGAATCTATACAAGCCAAGGCGGAGGGTAAGATGCTTCTTGTAACCCCAACAAAAGGAATAATTGTTGAGTAAATCTACAACGGTTTAGCAGTAAACGTACAGTTCAATGTTTTATTGAGCCATCAAGTCTGATCCACTTTGTGTGCTGAACTGACTGATCTCAGCCAAATGGCTAGTGCGCTAAAATTATCTCCGGGAAGCAAATCAACCCATACTTCCGTTCGCTCTTCAATGACCCCTCTAGGAAAATGCACTAGTGGCTCTCAGAGGCCTGAACTCCACTTTGTCTAAGGCTGTAAGGTTGCATATGATTATGGAAAGTTCTTTGATTCTGTCTTAATTTGGAAGCTGGTTCTTTTTGCAGCTGCAGAAAAGTGACTGCTAAGTGATTTTTCAGTGTAAGAGAATGGTATTTCAGGCTATGATCCAGTGGCATTTCAAACATCAGGTGATGGTTTCTTGTGCAGTGCACATCATGTTGCATATGATTTCCTGCTGACGTTTGAATGTTTAAGTCCACACATGAAGAATGGTCTCTTCAACAGGTAGTCCTCTTGCCTTTAATCAATTGCGTATGGAGTTGCGATTGGGAATACAATGAGCAGGGACTGAGTGTGCGAGAGCCCACCAAGCTTCTCATTTCAATGTGCTTTTAAGGCCAAACATCAAAGGAAGCTGCGTTATATGAATGCGAGACCCAAGTCGAGTACCGACACATGCTGGATCAATTATTGTAGCATCAAGGTCGAGATTCTTCACGATTTTCCATTTGACAGCTAATAATCTTTTGCACTTTGCTTTGCTTGATGATTTTTGACTTGGTTCTGATTAACGTTCAACATTGCTCCACCAGTACCAAGGTAATTACAGCCGCCACTTCATAGTTAAAGGCGAACAAGAAAGACAAGAAAGAGAGGTTTTCCAACGCAACATGAGAAGCCGTCTCGAGTCATTCAAATCCACTAAACATAATGTATATTCATCGAAGAACAAATGCAGACATAAGAAGGAACACAAGTGCCAGAAAAAGGCAAGTTTCCTTTCAATTGTGTTTACTCAAGGATCAGGAGTTAAGACTTTGGATGTTTTTTCAGGGGGGATTAAAAAAATGAGACGGATTTGTTGCTGTAGGAAAAATATGGTATTTGAAAGGAAATTAAAGTGAGGTTTTGCCATGCAATTTCTCCTGCTCTGTGAGGATATTTTCCTTTGTTTTAATAAGAGTGGTAAGCCAAATTGTGCATTAAAGTGGTGAACTCCAGTCTCAAAAATGCAAGTCTCTCATACACGGCAGTCAATAATGTAGCTGGCGAGTCTCCACGCACTGTAATCGTGTCCAGAAGAAACGTACTTGTGCGTAAATGTAGATGAAATCGAGCTCTCCAGTGGTTTACCTATTGCAGCAAGCAATTAGTGTCTCCAGCTTGGACACTATATAAAGGAACAACCCTGCAGACTGCAAATGACAATCCGATACTGACAGAGTCCAATGCTTATTGTTCTGTTTGAAAGAACACTCTCAGATGGCAAAACATCAGCTTCTAAGATTAAAGCAAAGAGCGGTTAGACTTGGCGCTGACCCTAACCTCAAGAGGATCTCAGCAACCAGTTTGTCTTGATTTTGGTCGAATGGGATCAGTTTGATTCTATGGGCAAAGGGTTACTGGAGACCATTGAACCAGGCTTGAAATTTATATCGGAATTCTGGGGTGGGGGGGAAATCTGAGAGAGAAATTATTTTTGTTAATGTCCCTCCTCAAGACTCTTGAATCAATGTGCTGAATTATGTCCCATACAAACAATACTTCCTGTTAAACCCCATTCCCTCTTTTGTCAGTGTAGGTTGGGCCACTACAGAGGAACAGGAGTGAGGTGAATGCTTGATCCAAAGCACTAAGTTTAACAATTCAGATACTCTCCATCGCATTTCTACTCCAACTCACAATGCTCAATCTACATTTGTAATGGTTACACTAGCAATCTGAGAACACCACCACCATCAACAACTTGCATTTATATAGCGCCCTTCACACAAGATAGCATCTTGGAACACTTATAAGAATGTAGAAACATTAATCTACCTTTCTCTTTCAGACGCCAATCTGTGTGTTCCCATTTTCTGCGTGCTTGCATACTTCATGGCTGTACTATTGCTGAATGAATTCAGGTTTTCTCCTTTTTTTTAATTCAGAGAAATATTGAAGACATAAACGGTCAAGTACCTGACAATAAGTTGCAGAGAAGTGTAAACTGGCATGAGGCAGGTGAGTGTGTTACCGTTGATGAGTTAAGAATGGGCTGTTTTATGTCCTGGTATGATTTCTGTTATATAACTGCAGCAGATATCCTGGCCACCCCATGTCATGTTTAAAAATCCACCCAAAATACTTGATGGGATTGTTTGCAGATGAGCACCAATGTTTTTCTGTTGAGAAGAAGGCTGAGTTTCACCTACGTTTAGGAAAGGAGTGGATAGAATGCAACCCGAGGCTATATAATACAACAGCAGTGCCTTTTAAGTACATTTTTAAAGGTTTGTCGACTGCTTCAGTGAAGCTGAATTAGTATTCGACAGATCCACGGATGCCCGAAGGCCAGGTGAACTCAGCATTGACATGTTGCTCTTCGGATCTTTGGGATGGGCTTAATGCAAACCTGCAACTTTATATTTGGCATTTGTCAAACGCCAGGATTAAAGTTGTCTCTCGTTGTCATGTTTGAAGGAATGAGGCTCCAGGATATACCTCAGGAGAGATTTATTAGTTTAATCTAAGTGTGAGAAGGATGGTACTTCTTATGTTAACTTTTCTGTCTGGTAGACACCTTCAATGCAATTATTTACACTCCATTTGGGTCTGAATAATGCAGAGCCTTGGTATTTGCAAATGATTAATGGTTAGAAACTTGAGGCTTGAAAATGCCTTGGCCTTAAGCTTTAGGCCATTGCCCTACGATACAAAATTTTCCAAATATTTCTTGTCTCAATTTTCAAAGTTATTTTTGTCTTATTAACTTCTAAAGACACAAACACCATTTTACTACAACAATAACAGTGACAGCAAATTGCATTTATACAGCTTCACATCGGGAAGACATCTCAAGGTGCTGGACAGTCATAGGTTTCCACTTGAACTAGGGATTACATTCAGGGTAGTGGGGGCCAAGGGCAATGCGGGAGGGAAAGATGACCAAAAACACGCTCAAAGAGGAAGGTTTTGAAACGGACCTTGCAGGAGGCAAAGGAAGGATTGAGACAAAGGGAATGGAATTCCAGAGAGTAAAAAGATATAGGTCGAAAGCCAGGCCACTGAGGGTGAGACAGTCAGGGTAGAGGACGTGAAGCAGGCCAGTGCCTGCTAAGCAAAGGTAGTGTGAGGGGTTGGCAGGGTTTAAGAAGGTTGCAGAGTTAGGGTGGGGCAAGACTCTGGAGGAATTTAAAAGTGAGGACGAGGATCTTAAACTGAGTCCTCTGGGGATGGAGAGCCAGTGGAGCCAGGCAAGGATGGAGTTGATCATGGTTGCCTAGTGCGGAGGCGCCTAGAGATAGAAGCCTAGTGTGGGTCTTTACAACAATATATTAACAATCTGAAGAAAGCATGGGCTTCCTGAAAATTAAATGGTTCTCTCTATATTTTGGTGCAATTGGAAAATAAGGTAAGGCTGTTGTTGCAACCCTATGACTTTCCCCTGCCCTTCGCCTCTTGATGGTGCAACTTGGGAAATGTGACAGCCAAGAGATGGTGGGTGCGTTGGAAGCTTATGATTGGTATTTACAGTGAGTGGCACAGTATTACTCCTCGGTCTTAGAGAATGACATATTGAGTGAAGTTTAGTATTCAAGGTAGCAACTTTCAAACTACAGTACCTTCCATTTTTTTTAATATCTGATCACACTTTGCTGAGCAGCTTGTCTGCAGCATTGCTAGCATACAGCAGGACAAGCAGGCCTGAGGTGAATTTGGAAAGTAATGGACAGCACGCTCTGCTTGGGGTTTGTGAGGTTTTTTTATACACCAGACGGAAGGACAATATTGGTCCACGTTTGATAAATTTTGTCCATTCTGTTACGCCTGGGAATTAACATTGCTTACCCTTCAGTCTCCATCTGCCACCTGATTGTGTCCAACTGCTCTAAGCTATTAGGGAACCAGTCACCCAAGGACAATAACTTTGCCTCTGGACACATTCATCTCCTCCGGATCATGGCATTTGCAATTGTTGCCAAGATCCATTCTGCCACCACCAATAGAACATTTAGATTTAATAAGAAGAAGAATATAATAAATAATAATTGACTTGGTGGTAACTCAATCTGGCAGATGAAATGTTACGCAGGGGTAAATACTGGTTCTCTTCATTTGCATCTAGGAGTGCTGTAGCTCAGTGGTAAGAGCAATCGCCTCGCAAGCGAGAAACCTGGGTTCGATTCCTGGCAGGGCGAAATGTTGGGCAAGTTTCCTTACTTCACACGCCTCTGTTTACCTAGCAGTACATAGGAACCAGATTGTTAGCCAATTGGCGTATCGCTTTTCCGGGGATAATAATTCCTTCAAATTCCTTGCACAATTGGCTGCTGCGTTTCACCCACAAAATGAATAGTCAATTCACTTTACAGTATATCCTGTGAAGAGCTTTGAGACATCTCAAAGACGTGATAAGGCGCTATATCAAATGCAAGGATTATTATTTATCTATGCCTACTATATACTAGCTAAACTTGCACATGCACATTCTGTATAGCAATTGAATATCATTTAGAAGAAAATTGAGGTTTGGTTTCCTTTTACTAAAACAGTGCATTAAATTTGAGAGCATTGGGAAAGCCCTAATCTGAGAACATTAAGCACTGGTGGAGACCCCATCAGTGTTAGATCCCCGGTTATTCCAGTTATTCCACTGATCTGTCAGTCTTGATGAAAACTGAGCCGCCTTATCTGAGAAAGCTCTGGGAATCTGGATGGCTTAGTGTCAGTAAGCCCCTGACAAGTGATGCAATTCTGTGCTCATCTTAATCTGACACAGTAACAGCACAAATATTAACAAGTCGAGATTGGGCGATGCCACCAAAAGCTTTGTAAGATATATTGTAGCAAGATTAACTCATGGAACAAATAATCAATGAGGAGCAATAAGCAGGTGGGGACTTTTATTGGATGCATTGAGTGAAAGTGGTGCTTAATGCTCAGAACATCTACACATCCAATGCTCTAAATCTGAACACATTTACCACGATTCCCACATTCTCAACAAGTTCCATGTCTTTGAAACATGCCGGTGTGATCCGTGATTATTTTAGGCTCACCGATAATTTTAGGCTCACTGCACTATTACCCAACCGTGACAGTGGGATGGCATTGTAGGGGCCTGGCATTGCTGGGCGTCTGCTTGGGTACAAACTTCACAGCTCCGAAAGCCACATCCTCCAGGTGATATTGGGAGCCGGGCTCCAGTGTGACTCGTGCTTTCTCAGGCCAGCCCTATTTATGCTGTGAATCACCAGCAGTCATGCAGCATGTGCTCAGCAAATTGGAGCAACCCTCCCTTTCTTTTCTGTCACTTTCTCTCTCAGTTCCGGTTTTTGTAGAGTACGACTCAGAGGATGAAGCCCAGGACACTCCTGCAACAGAGCGAGAACAGGAGGCGGACGAAGGCATCACTTTCATGGCACAAACAGGCGACCTTTGTAACCAAAGAAAGATTTCAGGTATGATGCAGAATTGTAGAAGATTTTCCACGCTTCGCTCTAAGTATTCGGAATTGTAGCATCCTTCAGTAACTGATTTGAGGAGGCTGTCCTGTTAGGTGGGTTGACGCAAAATCGTTAAACTGCGCCCATTTTTTGGCGCTCCGAGACGCTACCCTGCCTGAAAGGCACTATACAAATGCAAGTGGGTGTTCTTGGTGGTGGCGGTAAAATGAGGCTTACATTTAGTTTTCTATTAATGATGCTACTCGAAGTAGAGATGAGACAACTCTAAACCTCTTGTATTGCTTTACACATGAGGTGAGAGTGCAACGCTCTTCTACATCCCTGCAGGACTGACTGCTGCTCGATGAGCCTAAAATATACGGTCCACAAATATACGGTCAATTCACCTTGCAGCATATTCTGTGAAGCGCTTTGAGACGTCGAGAAGACGTGAAAAGCGCTACATCAAATGCAAGGATTATTATAAAATCATCACCGATCACGTTTCAAAGACATGGAACTTGTTGAGAATGTAGGAATCGTGGTAAATGTATTCAGATTTAGAGCATTGGATGCGTAGTTGTTCTGAGCATTAAGCCCCACTTTCACTCTTCAAAACATATTGCAATTCTCCACTGTGAGCTTCAACAAGATGCAAATACTGAGATTTTGGAACATTTTGAGAATTGGCTGGTTTGGAGCCAGAGATTAGAGGAAACCTGCGTTAATAATATGAGCGCCGATTAACACAGAAATGTTAAGTATTCCAAGAAAGGTCTATGAAGAATCCAGGTGCAGAGAATTTTTTTCATATTTTTTAAAACTTTAGAAAAAATTGTCCCTGATTCCCATGTCAACCAAAGCTAGAAACAAAATGTTGGTCACTCAATCCACGACTGCAGTGTGCAGTTGGCTGCCGTGTTTCGCCCCCAAAATACAGTCAGTCCATTTTACAATATATTCTGTGAAGCCCTTTGAGACGTCTCAATGAAAAATGCAAGTATTATTAGAATAAGAATATATTTTCTTGCAATGAAGTTTCATCTTTTACTTACCTTGTCTATTGCTGGTTTTGAGAGGCTTTATCCTAGATAACGCAAAGTCTTGTTTCAGACATTAGCCAAACCAGCGGCGGCAAAGAGTCTGAGATTTCCAAGAAAGAGCCACCTTGGAGATTACAATATGACGAGCCCATCCTCTCACAGAGTGCTCAGATAGGGAGACCTGGTTTCATTCAACTCCGCAAGATCAGCACTTACTCTACAGACTCCCAGTTGCCTACACAAAAAGAGCAGCAACATACAGATCAACAGTAAATGATGTGACTTTTTTTAATTCTATTTGAGAACTTCTTCCTTCCTTTCATTCTGGCTCTGCTCTGCTCCTTTAACTCTTCAGCCACCCCTGTACATTAGAGACAAACTCTGAAAGTTCACCTATCAAATGTTGTGTGTGCAGCATTCTGGAGTAACTCTGCCCGAAGCAGCAGAGTTGGCTTCCGGGGGTCCGAAATTACTCATGGTCTTAGCTTTACTAATGCTGCCTTCACATCTAAAATCGTGCAGAATTTTGAAATCATATTAAAGTGGGTTTTAATTTGGAAACCGCTTTGCTGCCACAGCCAGAAAGAACTGTGGGAAAAGCAGCTTCCAAATTTAAACTAAAAAGAATTAGAAAATGTATCTGCATTTACATTGTCGGAAAACTCAAAATATTACACCTGGACAAAGGATGAAAAAGCATTGTCATCTTACGCATCTTGTTTGAAATTGCTAGTGCTTTGTTGACCTGTAGAATACTATGAATACACACAATTCTTATTTCTATCACCACCCCCCCCCCAAATTGTGTGTGTGTGTAAAATATTTTTTAAGAAAGATTAGTAATTATTTCTTTTTGAAATGGGGACAACATCTCTCTCTTCAGCTTCAAGTTTTGTTGCAAAAATGATTCCTCTTCCAGCGTGTGTGTGTGCACATGTGCACGCTTGATAAGCCATCATCGTAGTTGAACAATGACGACTATTTTTGTCTCTGTGTCAGTTACTTGATTCATATTACAGGTACTGTTGTGATGTTAGCCTTACCCATTCGTAAGTGTAGATGCTTCTGTTCCGAGTGGGTAGTCCATGCATGGTATATCATTTGGTAATGGCTCCAATATTTTATCTTTTAATTCCTTATAAAATAGTGAGTTATCTCTCCAAAGTCTTTATCTGCTCAATTTCAATTTGCTTCCAGTTTGTACAAACATTACATGCACATTTTAATTTCCCTTTCCAGCTTTCATTCTCTTAGTGCCTTTACCACTGATCTAATGCTACTTTTCCAACCTCCACTCTCTCTCTCTTTGATGATACAGATGCACATTCCTTCAAAATAAACTGTTGTTTACAAAACTATGCAGATGTCATGCAGATTGTCAGGTTAAGAACTTATTGAGTGTCTTTAACTTTGTTTTAACTTTATGTATCCAGGTAATTTTGAAAATCCTCAAAGCCCTTGCATCATCCAATCATCCCCTACAGCTGCTGAAAAGCAGCTTCCTTGGAAAGGAGATCAGGGTGACCTACCGGCATGCGTTTCATTGGAAGCCACCAAGATTGTGCCAGTTGACTTGCAGCAGGCCTGGAATCAAAGTATATCATCCTTAGAGAGTCCGGTCTCGTCTCCAGTACCCGACTCCGTGTTTCAGGCAAAGACCTTCAACATCACCCTGGAGGAACGAGCTTGTTCAGGTGTCCTGCCAGTGGCACAGCAATGTGTCCATTTCCAGTTTCCTGATCCCTTCCTGGCCAGCGAAAGAAGTGCTGATGAGGACACAGAGCAGTCTATTCAGCGGCAGGAGCTACAGCCCCTTATGTCTACCGAAAATGACAGTAGACTTGTGCCACCTGCTGGGTTTGTAAGTTCTAGGTGGCCAGTAACATTCCACAGACCCTCTTATGTCTCTGCTCTAAAGAGTTTGGTTACTTCCTCGCCATACAATACGAGACAATCAGAGAAGTCCACTAGTCCACAGACTGACCTTTAATTTAATTTCAGTTGAAATTTTCCAGGAGCTAAGTTAGACCCGTAACTTTTTAATGCTGTGAAGTGTTTTGATTTTGAATGTTATAAAAATATTGGAGGATCTTTTAAAAGAGATGGCGTGTTTTGTGAGCAAGCTTGTTTACAACTTAAAAATAAGTGGGGAACATGAACACAGCATTCTCTTGTACTGATTTCAATCTTCTCAAAATTCCCCATCTTGCTGCTTATGGAAAAGAGCAAGGAATGAGATTAGAGTAACTAGCTCTCGTAATGGGACGAATGGTCTGCTTCTGTGCTTTAATGTTTTAAATTGATTTTTATTAAGCAGATCTGATTGTCTGATCATATCAGCGCTCTGATTTGAGTGTCTGATGTGCCAGGCACGCTTGGAATGTCAAACCCTGCGTTTCCCAGTGTGTGGAATGATTTAGTTTTCATCGAGAGAAACACAGAGAGAGAGAGGAATGAGAGCAAACAAGAAACATGGTCCAGCATTAGGCATTGAAGTCTCTAGCTTTTCCATTTCAATCACCGGAAAGGGGGTTGCATTCAAGATAAACCTTCTGAGGGGAAAAGCTTAAAACTTAAGGTTGAATTTAATTGTCTTCTCACATTTCATACTTAGCTATTGATGTACAGTACTTGAGCAATGTTGTTTTTAATGAATTGCATGAAGCTATTTATGTCTAGACATTGATGTGATTTTATCATTTTACATTTTAAAAGTGTAATCTTTGAAAACTCGGAACGGCAGATCTAAATACTGCTTACACATTTTTAATAACAATTGCACGTTTTGGAAGGAGTTTATATTAATTATGAAATATGTGAAATGTTTACGGTTATCTAACGTATACTTATCGATCACAGCCATCCTTTGGATTTTGCTGATAATGTTTTTACCTCACTCTTTATAGTGCATTGGACATCTCATACCAAAACCAATTTTAATCACAAAAAATATAAGAAGCATTAGAGTAACATTGAACTTGAGTCGAGATTTACTTTATTAATGTAGCATTTCAGAACAAGCAGAATTTAGTAAATTCTTAAATTCAGCCTTTTCTTATAAATTGGAGGTGTTCTACGTGTTAGTCATGCTGTGTGATTTTAGCTGATTAAACTCCAGCAGTACTCCCAATGCAGACTCTGGCTTCCCCAAGCCTTGACTCTTCCCAATGTCTGCCTAATACTCTCGGGATTAGATAAACAGAGTGAGTCCCTCCAGGGAGAGACATTGCATTCCAGACACGGAGATTTCCATGGCATATACATGTGAAACTCAGGTTTGGAGACTCGCAAACACAGTGATGGGTTTCCGTATGCATCAGGCATTCAGCTAACCAAATTAAACAATTCTATAAGTTCTTCTAAGAATGACTGACGGAAAACAGACGAGAAAGTTGAGACTGGATTCAACGATTTGCCAAATTCTGGACTCTGAATGCTACGTTAATAAAGTAAATCTTATACCCATGTGAAATTTCTACCTGGGTTTCTTCATTCAAAGCAGAATTTGGCCAGCTAGCCCTTAATGTGAGAATCTAGTTTAACAATTTTGCTGCCTTCTACTCTACTTGTTTATTTCTCAAGCAGTGAAATGTTGTCCTTAAAGACATTAAAAATTAAAGCTGGATGGGATCAGACAACAGAAAATGTTTTATTCTGTTTTGGGCAGTGTTCTTATGTTTCGTTACATTTTGAGAAAATAATCCAAATGACTTATAGAATGAGCCTCTCTATTGTCGACAACATGGCTACACTGTCATATTCAAGGACTGATTGAACAATTGTATTTGAGTAGAAGAAATGGTGGTGGCTTTGCACAATATAACTTCAGTAAGGGTGCATTATATTTAACAAGTAAGAGAAAGATTCGACCCTTTAATACTCATGTTTTGCTTCCAATACGTTTTGACGAGGAATGCTTTGCCAGTAACTAAGCATTGTGCTTTTTATAAAACAGCATATCTGAGGAATGGGCCGGTAAAAATAACAACAAAAAAATTGCATTTGGAAAGCGCCTTTCACGTCGGGAGGACGTCCCAAGGCGCTGGACGGAAGTTACTATAGCTCTAACATACTATGGAATTTTAATGTAATGAACTGTTGTGCATTTGCTAAAGCCTACTCTGCTTTATTTCAAAATAAGAAAAATGATTGCAAGGTATTTTTGTTCTCTTGCTTTTTAATGCACCAATTTCTTTCCTAGAAGTATTTTCTGATCATGTTACACTTGAGCAATTATTTTAAACTATACAAAGATAAAGAGCTGTCCAAACAATTAGCTTTGGAAAGCAAGTGTATCATAGTAATATTTTCAATTGAATAATATTGTATAAATGACTGTAAATTCCCCCTTTAAAGGATGCAAAGGCAAAATATCTAGATATCTACATCTCAGTATGCCTCAACCTCAATACCCAAAGACACAATATACAGTATGAATAACTGACCAAATTTAAAATATATATGTATATGTATAAAAACTGTGTGCCTTCATTTTGGATTAAGTTATTTTGATTTTCTCCAAAACTGAATGTAATAAAAGCTGCATAATCCTTATGTGAAGACATGAATTAGTTATCCGAATTTTCATTTTATGAAGAATTCTTCTCTTGTAATTATACTGTTCACATGTTGGTTGACACTCTGGTTTCAATGCATTCATTTTCGTTGATATCGTATTACCATTTTGTAAAGACGTATTCTTAACAGTGAAGTTCATTATGTCTTTTATTCTGTGTAAAGGAACAGTAATACTGGTTTGATAAAAATAAATATATATATAAAATATAGTCATTGTTAGATTGGTTTCCCTTCATTAGTTTACAGAATCAATGGTAACAGCAGGGAAACTCTCTGCCATAGCTGTGCAGTTCTATACTAAGAAAATAAAATTGCAAACCTGCTCTTGTTTTTAATGTTGTTTGAGGTTACAGGATCTGGGACCTATTTTGTTCCACATTTACATTGCAATGAACTGTTCACTGTCAGGGACACAGCGACATTTCCCATTAGGAGTATGCCCCTCCAGAGCTCAGTAACTTCACTAATAACCAGCCAGCTACACATTCAGCATTGTGGATTAGTGGATCTAAAGAATGTTTGTCAAAACTGAATATCGGACTATGCAAATATTATCTTTTGGATAGTGTGTGTGGAAGTAGAAAGATTACCTGGAGGGTCTTGAGTAACTGGGAGGAGGAGATACTTGCTTCAGTTTGCTACCGTGACCATTAAATAATCTTGCCATGTGTTCAATCGTTTATTGAAGAGTTGACGTTCCAATTAGACATTGTCAAAAGGGTCAAGCAGTTATTCAGGTTCCACCCCTAGCACATTAAATACATGTTTAATCAAATTTATGAATCATGCTTAAAAAACGCCAATTTTAGAGTAGATGGTCATTCTAGTATCTTTATTTTATCGTGGGTGGAATCCCTGGCATCAGGTAAAATCTCCAAGAGACTGTGTGGGACTAGAGCAAAGCAAATTGATAGTTCATGTGAGTTTGAAGGGTTTGTGCAGAGGCAGAGAAATAAACAGATGTCCGTTAACTTGGTTCTTAATGTTGGAAATATGTTTGTAGTCTTAGAAAATCAGCCAAGAGTAAATGAGAACATCAGTTATAATTGCAAGGTAACCGTCAAAATGGGCAAAAGCCTAGCTCGCTTCCCCTGTAAGCCGTTATTTTGCATTGCGCAGAGCGGAAATACTTAAAGTACTGTAATTGTGAGCGGAATCTGTGCCAGGCTGTAAAAGCTGGATGTACTGTGGCTATCCTAAACTAAGTCTCTTGAGTGTTCCTGGAACTTGTTTTATCTCCTTCTTCACTCAAAGTTCACTAAGTGTTGCTTTTGCTTCTTAATATATTTCAAAATATATTGAGTTATTGAGAGAGTTTAAACATTTATTGTTTATTGCAATTTTAGATTTGTAGCCCGGATCTGTGGTTACATAACAAGCTGCACATATCTGGGTGCCCCATAATCTGGAAGTATAAAATTAATTACATTTTAGTAGTTTTCCTTAGTGATTTATGCAGCGTCCTTCACAAAGGAATAATATCTCTGTGAAGTGATCTGAAAAAATATTTTACGTAAGGGTGCTATTTAAATACAAGCTGTTATTGATTTTCCAACCATCTGTTATTATCATAGGTGACAGTTTGAAGGTGTCAGTCTGGATCAGTTGGTAGCATTCTTGTCTGAGTCAGAAGGTTGTGGGTTTGAAGCCCAATGTCGGCACTTTGAACTCGGTCCAGGCTCACACTCCAATGCGATCTTTTAGATAAGACATTATACCAAGATCCTGTCTGCCTGTTCAGGTGGATGTTAAAGATTCCACTATCTAAAAAGAAAAAAGAGTTTCTTCCACTGTCATAGCTAAGAATCCCCACAAATAAAACTGGTCATTATTTCATTGTCCAGTGCCTTGGATGTTCTCCCAACATGAAAGGCCCTCTATAACGGCAATTTGTTTTTGTTGTCATGTACTTCATGGCTATTTGCGGGACATTGCAAATTCACCACCATATTTGCATACACAAATACAATCACTGCACTTCACAGTATATCCTGTGAAATGTTTTTCTGCCATGAAAGGAATTACAGTATATCATGTACAAAAATTGAATGCAGGGATTATTAGGTGACCAGTTTTATCTGGGGGATTGTTAGCTATGACTACTAGGGGGGAAGAGGGTTAGTCCTCCAAGTACAATTTTTGTACTTCAATCATTTGAAAATATTTTGAGCAGATTGTATACAAATTGCAATAATTGTCCCTCTTTCATCAAATACCAGGTCTCCTTTTGAAAGCAGGCATGTTCTGAATTGTCTAGAAGTCCATTCTACAAGATTGATGTGTCGCCTCTTTGCTAAGTGTTATTTTTGGATTTGACAAGTGAATTCTTTCAATAATTCTTTTAATGGAAGGGACATGCTAGGAATTGTCCATTCCCTGGACCACATTTACTTAAACATTCCTTCAGTTCTTTTTAATATTCGATGAATTGGATACCATACCTGCAAGTGTCTGCAAATAATGATTGAGGAGCTGAAGATCTGAAGCTTCAGTAAAGGTTTCCCGTGAAAGTACTCGTATGCTATTTTATCCTGTAACAGTAAATTTATTAACTTAAAAATAAGGTATGGCCTTAAAACATTCTTTCTTAAAATTAGTTGCTCATTTCTTTTTGAAATGGATCTGTTATTTTACAGATTTAAAAGCAGGGATGTTATATTTGATACATTTTTCAGAACTTCAGACTTCTGCCAAAATCCATTCCATAATAACATATGAACTGCTTGATTCCCTCTTCACTGTTGTTTTTGCATGCCTTCTCTTGTAATTGTTGGATTTAATATTTTATGTTTATTATTTTGCATTATAACATTGTACAATTGTAGGTAATGTTACACAGGAGTAAATTTGACCCATGAGGGTCGTATACAGCTAACTTTTAGTTTCACAAATTAAATGCCGTAACTCTGCGATTTGTCACCCTATTGTAGCTGGTTACCGGAACATTAATAACCACCTTTCTTTTGAGACGGGGCTTTGTAAGTTTTAAAGTTAACAATGAGCGAGCTTGCCTATTCGGGGGTGAGAAACGTTGGCTCTTTAGAAATAATGGGGGAAGAGCGAGAAAGTTCTTGTCTTCAATCCACAGATCGAGTTTCAAGCAGAAAGTCAATTGGACTCGAGTCGGACAGTGGGCCTAATTGGGGGGGTGGAGGGCGGTGGGGTGGAGGGCGAGAGAGGGCTTCCTCCCGACGTGAAAGGCGCTCTATAAATGGAATCTTGTTGTTGTTGTTCCAGTGCTTGAAAACTGCCCGGTTGATGGCCGTCAGTTGCCACCATTGCCCACGTCATTGCTTCGGCGTAGACTGAAAGCCACGTTAAGCGGCACATTCGGCCCATCTCGCCGGTGCCGCTGTCCGTACCCCACGAGAGTCTCCGCCCAGCCGTCCCCTTCCCCCCCCTCCCCACCCACGCGTGCAAGAGTTGCCCAGGGGGTGA